CGAAGGGGAGCCCCTTCCCTTCGATCCCTTCCCCATCGGGGGGGGGTCCGGGGGGGGTGGGGGCGGGGGGGGTCCCGGGGGGGTGGGGGGGCAGATTCGTTTTTCCTCGGGCGCCCTAGAAACTTCGAAAACACTCCAAGTGAGGTCCGAATGCCCAAGATGGCCCCCGAGACGGCCCAAGAGGGCCCCGAGTCCCTCAAAGATCCGCGGAAAACGGCCAAGATAGCCCCAAGACCGTCCAAGAAGCCCCCAAGACGTCCCAGGCCACCTCCAAGAGCCCCCCAGGAAGCCCCAAGAGGCCCCCAGGAGGCTTCCAAGCGGCCCCTAAGAGCTTCCCAGGAGGCCCACAAACTACCCCCAAGAGGCCCACAAGAGCGCTCGTCGTCGTCGTCGTCGTCGTCGTCGTCGTCGTCGTCGTCGTCGTCGTCGTCGCCATTCAGGGTCGGCGGCACCGGCCGCAAGGCCTTCGCAATAACTCCTCCCTGTCGCACCCCGAAGCCAGTCGGAAGGGCGAGCCCAACATTTCGCCTAAGACACCCACACCAGTAATGAATATTAAGCTTAGAAGCTGGCAGCAGTTCCGCAAATTGAGGGCGGGTCGCTTCCAACATGTGGCTCTCGCTTCAACGCCGCCCGCATTCGTTTGAACAAATGCAACGAGCTTCATGGACTGAGGGCGGGTCGTTTTCGGAATGTGGCTCTCGCTGTTGCGCCGCGAATGCTCGGCTTAAAGATTTGCAAGAACATCGGAATTAGCACGGATCTGTTAGTTTGAATGTGGCTCTCGCCTTAGCGCCGCGCACCTTTGTTTTAAGCAGCGCAATAGTTTCGCTGATGATCATGCTTAACCTTCCACAAGTTACGTTTGATCGCGGTGTCAAACTACCAGGAATGGCGTTCTGGCACGATGCAGGATCGCCAAGTCGCAACAGTCAGGTTCACTCGCGGCGTTGAAGTCCTGAGAATGGTGTTTCAAAACGCCTCAAGATGTTCACACAATTGTCGTTCAACGTGGCACTACAGTGCATCCTGCATGGGGCCTATGAAGAGTGCACTTGGAGGGAGGGTGTATCCCTACATCGTTGATGAGTATGCTTTAAGGCTGGTCCTCCTCCTCCTCCTGACTGACAGACAGACAGACTGACTGACTGACTGACTGGCTCGAGGTAGATCGGGCGGCGCCTGGTACCTGCAAACCTGTCCTGCCACCTTCCCACGGCTAAGCCCTGTGGGGAGGTGGGTTTTCTCCTCCTCCTCCTCCTCC